GATGCGACGGGCGGTGACGCGCAGGTCGAGGACGCGCCGGGCGAGGATGCGGATGGGGCAAAGGACGCGCTGGGCGACGACGCGCAGGTCGAGGACGTGCTGGGCGACGACGCGCAGCTTGAGGATGCGACGGGCGGTGACGCGCTGGTCGAGGACGCGCCGGGGGAGACTGAACCGGGCGAGGACGGTGAGGACCGCGATGACCGCAACGACGACGACGAGGCGACCGGTGTAATACCTCGCACGACGTGCAAGCCCCGCCACGACTGACATCCATGCAGCCCGCCTGCAACACCACCCGTATGCGCAACGCGCAACGCGAAGGCCAACGAGGCGCGGGAGCGTGAAGACCGACCCGCCCTGCCCCATACGAAGGCGACGTCGCCTGTTGACGGCAAGGTCGAGGTCGAGGCGGCAGATGAGAGCGAGTTCGAGGTGGAGGAGGCAGATGAGAGCGAAGGTCGAGGTGGAGGAGGCGACGAGCTCGTCGACAGCGAGGACGACGATCGGCCGACCGGAACCAAGGGCCAAGGGGAAGGCCCGAGGGGGAAAACGCATCAGCAGCAATTCGGCGCGGAAGGCACGGGCAGCAGGCAAGGGCAAGGCGTCGGCCGTGCCCAAGCGTGAGGACCCGGAGGTGGACAACTCTGCGCCCAAGTGGGAAGGGCAGTGGACCCTTCTCATGCCCGCAACTGAGAAGAACGACAACGTGCACGCGAAGGTGAGTTTCTGTTACGACAACACGTACTTCGCTAACTCTCTTACAGTTCATGGGCAAGTGGCGATGTGCGCAGTGCAAGAAGAGAGGCGCCACCGAATGCGTCATCCGCGGCCTCGGACGCAGGTGCGTCGCCTGCATCACCGGGCATAGATCTCCATGCGACATTAAGGTAAGTACAAACCTCTCTGCAAAACCGTTTAGGACACTGATTAAAGACTATGAAGACCTACTACGAAGCAGAGGCCGTCTACGTGAACGACCAGAAACACGGTCGATACGCTGACCTTCCCCCCGCGCGCTCGACCACTGCCCCCACGACCTCAAAGATCAACCCGCGCAAGCGGATGGCGGTCTCTTCGAGCGAAGAAATGTCGGACAGCCCGGGCGAGGACGACATCGTAAGTCGCACTCCACAAAGCGGCAAGGCGAAGACGGCTGCGAAGCCCAAGACGAAGGTCGCCGCACCCGTCTCCAGGACGTCGGCGAAATCGGCGACGGCCACGCCGAACAAGCGCAAGAAAGTCGACGCCACGCCGGAGGCCAAGCCGTCATCGGCGAAGATATCGGCGCGCGCATCAAAGCCTGGGCCGTCCCAGAAGACGGCCGACAACAAGAGCACGCGCGCCGAGGCAAGGGAGACGATAACCATCGACTCTGACTCCGAGGATGACCAGCCCCTACGCGCCTTAGTTGCCGGTGCGGCGAGCAGCCCCGACGCTCCCGAAGACGCGATGGATATCGATGAGCCGCAGGTCGTCGACGGCAAAGGGAAGAGTAGGGCGGGCGACCTTGGGCAGCTGCCCGAGGCGGTCCAGAACGACAGCGAGCCAGACGACCACGGTTCCCCGTGGCACGGCGATCGGAACGCGGTAGTGACGATGGGCTGGCTCGGTACGCGGTGGAAGGAGCTGATGGAGCAGATCCGGGACCGCATCGAGGACGAGGTGGAGAGCGCGGTGGGCTACCACGTATGTATCCGCCTTGCACTCATTATCATTCCACTAACGATGCTCTCACACAAGATTGCGAAGATGCAAGCTGCGTCCAGCAAGCCGCAGGTCCCAGCTCACCAACCGCCCGAGGACCTGGTGCGCCGGCCGGGGTGGTACCCCAAATACGACGGGCCGAGGCCTACGCCCATTAACAACCTGAAGACCGAAATGCTCGCGTCGAGGACCTCGAACGCGGCTGCTCCCTCTTCCTCGAGCGGCGCTGCGCGGTCGTCCTCAAATCCCACAGTGTCGAGTTCTAGGAACGCCGCAGCGTCATCGTCAAAGGACGACATGGCCGCATTCGCGCCCGACACCCCGACCCCGAAGCAACGCGGCGGCGGCTCGACAGCTTCAGCGTCGCGCAAGACCACGGGTGCCAAAAAGGCGGTCCACAAGGACTAGGACAGCTCGCGATGTGTGATTGTACGGACAAGGTTGGTCTTGATAGTATGTACATACACAAACGCCGTGTCTTGCTGGGCTGCGTCCCATGTCTTCTGGTCTCTAACGCTATCGCACCGTGTCGCGTGTCGTCAGCGCATATCTTGTCATACTCGTATTGTTCTCGCTCGCTCGTCGTCGCTGCCGTGTACCCAGGTCGTACTGTATCATACTGTTGCAATGTCATAACGTGTACCATGTCAGCTGGCGTGCCCCGTGTATATGGATGTCAGGGGATCTCGCGCGGGTGCGCAGGATCCCCTGGAACGTCCTCAGTACATGGTGCGGCGCATACATACGGGTCTGAGGGGATCTCGCGCGGGTGCGCAGGATCCCCTGAGACGTCCTCAGTGCGTGGTGCGACATACAATATGGCTGTCAGGGGATCTCGCGCGGGTGCGCAGGATCCCCTGGAACGTCCTCAGTACATGGTGCGACACATACATATGGCTGTCAGGGGATCTCGCGCGGGTGCGCAGGATCCCCTGGAACGTCCTCAGTACATGGTGCGACACATACATATGGCTGTCAGGGGATCTCGCGCGGGTGCGCAGGATCCCCTGAGACGTCCTCAGTGCGTGGTGCAACATACACATATGACTGTCAGGGGATCTCGCGCGGGTGCGCAGGATCCCCTGTGACACCTTGCGTGCGTGGTAAGACATACAATATGTGTCTGAGGGGATCTCGCGCAGGTGCGCAGGATCCCCTGTGACGTCTTGCGTGTGTGGTGCGACACATACATATGACTGTCAGGGGATCTCGCGCGGGTGCGCAGGATCCCCTAGGACGTCCTCGGTACATGGTGCAACATACACATATGGCCGCCGTGGTACGCTGACGCGACACTGCATTGCGTTATGCGCGGTGCGGAGAAGTCCCTTCGATTGTGGTATACCAAACGCATCAGCCACTGCCCAAGATAGACGGATACTCTATGCTACATGTTCAAGACAATACTCTGTACTACAGTTGTCTACTTCCGAGCACGCTTCGCCTTCTTCTGCTTGTCTCGCGACCCTTGGGATTTGCGCTTGCGACCACCGGAAGGACCGGGCACGGAATCTACAAAGAGCTTGAGTTTGACAGCAGCTGCGGGGAGGACAACTTACCAGCAGACGCGTTCGTCAACGCCGCGGACTTGTTAGACTCAGAGACCACGCTTTCCGAGCCTGACCTTTGGGAACGCTGACTAGGGTCCGGTGTCGCCTCACGAGAGTCCGAGTCATCTTCTAGCGACTGTTTCTTGAGCGCATCCATAGTTTTGCCCTGTATGATTCTATGAGTACCCCGTAACCGTGCGAGGACAGGATGCGCACCTTATGCTCGCATCCAAGCTTGTGTACGCGGCATGCCACGCACCTAGGCTTTCCGCCATCTTGCGGGACACGGCACTCAAGGTAACGCTTTTTGATGCATTGCGCGCACATGCCGGGACCGCAAATCTGGCCGTCCAGCACATGAGCGTTGTAAGGAGCAGATCAAGAGAAACTCACCACAATGTCGCCCGCGGGCGGAGGCAGTTTTGCAGGCCGCGCAACCGACGCTCCAACTTGGAGCGGTTCATCCATCCTTTCAGGCGCCCAACCTCGCGCTTGCAGGTTCAGGTACAGCTCCTTCGATTGCGCTGCTGCAAGCCGCTCCGCGTCAGTGACAGCCTCATCCCTCACTCGGTACACGGTGAAGCCGGGGAAGTCCTTCTCCTCGCCGAATTGTACTGGGGTTGCCGCTTCAGGCAGGGGTGCGCCGTATGTCAACACAAAGCGGCAAAACAAACCGCAAGCATGCACGTACCGTGCAGTCGATCGTTTGCTGTGCAACAACAATGTACACCGAACGGTTAGCGGGCACACTAGTATACAACCCGGGGACTGACCCATCCAAATGTCGAGGAAAAGGTCCGCCGCCCGCTCCATGTCCTCGTCGGTGTGCGTGTCCGCCTCAAAGTAGAACGGCTCACACCTGCGCCATTTGACAAAGTAACGCCGCATGCTGAGATCCCGCGGCCATGCGCCCTCCTTTGGTGCGTCCCAGCAAGCCCAGTCAAGGACTAGCTGCACGAGGTGCGGAATCTGCTCGTCCTCGGGCAGCGCTTTGAGCGCATCAAGAACATCGTCCGTCTGAACAAGTCAGATCACACGTTCTGGTCAAAAGATCATGTAGACGTACGAGGATATGTTGCATGACGATCTTCTTGAAAGCGTCCCAGTTGAACGGCCCATTATACAGCACGCGCAACGTGCGGTTCAACTGTAAGAGCACCGGTAATGTCCAGTCGTCCGTGGACGGCAGCCGGTCGGTGAACTGTAACATATCCCGTCTACCGCTAAAACTGGGCCGACGCTTGACGGCCTCGCGATAGTACTTCCCCGTGTCTTCATAAGTCCATGGGCCAACCATGCTGGGCGGTGGGCGGCTCGTCCGACGTGGCAGATGTTGAGGTCGAGTGCAGGTACAAGGGCTGCAACGAGGAATGCGAGAGAGTGATATCGAAGCGAGGCCGCGTAGGCGAGAAACGGTCAAGAGCGAGGTAGAATCTGACCGACGGGATGCTAGCCAGGTCAAGCGCGCACGCCACACCGGCCGTCCGAATTAGACGCTGAGCGCGTCGCACAGATGGCTGGCCACGTCATATGACCGTGTTCCGCGGGCCGTGTTCCGAAGCCACTGTGGGCGCACCTGGTGGATGGTAAGGATGATGCGCACTCGAGACATGGTAAACGTTGAGACCGGAGGTGTGGATGCACGCGCATGGCATCAGGCAGCGGCGCCATGTCAATGTAATAGTCCGGGTATTTGCAAGAAACAGATTGCTAATTCCTCGCATTAAACGGAGTGCTACCACGATACTACAGTAGTGTCACGCACAAACGCCCTTCAAGACCGGGTATGCTTCACCTCCCTCTCCTCCTCAGACAACGTGTCTGCTGTGCGCTTCGCGCTGCCGGACGCGCCAGCAGACGACGACGGACCTGCACTGGAACCTTGAGAGACCGATGCCTTGGATAGCGCGCGGGGCGGGTTGAAGAAGGCTGGGTCCGCGCGCGGATCAACCAGCTCGGTCTATCTGTCCCGTGAGTCTGTTGTGCCAGAGATATCCTGTGCGCACGAACCTGATAGGCGCACTTGATCTTGCGCACACGGCACGACACGCACTTGGGTAATTCGGTATCGTTTGGAACACGGCATTCGAGGATGCAAGCCTTGACGCATTGTAGGCACATGTATGGCCCGCGAATCTGGTCACCTAGCGCATCAACAGCAAATGCAGAGCACAACCCTGTAAACTCACCACCGTGTCGTTCTCAGCCGGAGGCAGGTTCTCTGGCCTCTTGTACGACCTGACCTTGATCCAGGCCTTCATCTGCAACGGCGCACCGCACCGCCACTCCTGGTTCAGGTATGCCTCCAACGCCTCCGCCGCCTCGCGTCGCTGTTCGTCCGTGACATCTTGCATCCTCAACTTGTACTGCGTCACCCCAGGGACATCCTCCGCCTCGCGATACTGCACAGGTGTGTCCGCTGTACATGCGCGCCAATCGTCATACTCACACAACCGACCAAAGAGGAACAAACGCACCATACAGACGGTCATTGGCTGACCAGCGGGACACAGTGAGCGCACGCACACACGAACACGGTGATGCACTCACCGATCCACATATCCAGCAGAGCGTTGGCCGCCTGCTCCATGTCGACGTCGGTCGACGTGTCCGACTTGAAGTTCAGCGGCTCGCAGTGGCACCATTTCATGAAGTAGCGGCGCATGCTCAAGCCCGGCGGCCACGCTCCCTCCTCCGGCGGGTCCCAGCAGGCCCAGTCCAGGACGAGCCGCACAAGGTGAGGCAGCGCGACGTCTTTCGATAGATTCTTGAGCGAGTTCAAGAGGTCGTCCGTCTGACGCACGTTTGACTCATATCATCCGAGACACTGTGAGCATGCGACGCACCATGATGTACTTCATCAACAGGACCTCCGTCGTCTCCCAGTCAAAAGGCCCATTGTACACACCACGCAGGTTGCGGTTGAACTGCTCAAGCAGCTCAGCCGTCCACTCGTGCGTGGGCGGCACCTGGTCCGTAAACTCTAAATGTTTGCGCGTGCCGATGAAATCCACGCGTTTCTTCACCGCGGCCCGAAAGTACTTCTGCGTATGCTTCTCCGTCCATGTGCCGACCATGGTAGGTGTTGCGTGTAGAGATGCGATGGGCCCGCGGGCGTGGACAAGCGCGTGATGCGGTGTTGCCAAGATTGATGAACGCGGCGAGAGCAGGCAAAGATGCCGAAAGAAGCGACAACGGAACGATGAAGCGCGAAGTGGACCAACAAGCGCCTACCGCTGTACGCGTCAACAGATCATATGATCGCGTCCCCAGGGGCCGCCCAAGTGTCGCGCTCGCGTGCGTGTCTCACATGACCGTGTGTGGGCTACGCATGTTTGCCTTGCGCTCCAAGATGATACCGGGCGTCATCGTCGGTTTCAACTGTACCAACTTCACCATGTATGCATCACCGTTCATATATGGGTGGGGCAGTGCCGAATCAGGACTGCAACGCAACCGAGGTAAGACATTCCCCAAACGTCCGCGCCTCGCACTCATCCAAGCTCAGAAGGAGATACAAAACAGGCACCGGAACCGGTGTCGATTTCCAGCGTGCGAACTCGTCCTCTCTACATAACTGTTTCCGCCGCTGTGCCTACTGACATATGTTTGGTGGCAGTACATTACGGCTCACGAGAAATGCTCAGTTTGCACATGTCTTCAGCATGCTCGCTGTGATGTGCTTCCGGGCTCTATGAGCTGCTCCCAATGCGTTGACTTGGGCGTCCAGATACTGTGTACCGTGACCGTGGTGAGCATCGCATTTCTCAATGAACATAGCACCGACCAGGTGTGCTTGGGCAGCAACCATCGAGGGCACGCATGTGGCAGCGCGTCAAGAGTGAACCAGCCTACTACCTCAGCCACCACTTCATGGCCAATCTGCAATTGGTTTTACACGCATGGGAAGCCCAGCGCGCGCGCCATGCGCACGCTTATGAACACTTTCACCACACAGTATACCCGCGTCTTTCCAATCCGCTCTCGCCGCTCTACGAGAGCGATAAGACGGAGTATCTTGAGATTTACTATAGTTGGAGAGCGGTCAAAACAATGACGCTCATGCTATACGCATACGATGGAAGTTACAGGCGCTTGTT